TTTAATGGATAAAAACAATGCACCAAAAGCACAGTAAGATTAACACTGTTGCTGGCCAGTGGAACAAGCCTTCCTGGAACAAGTGCCACACATAACATGATGTGAGAGACTGCCTGACTGCAGAGCAGGGAGGCCCTGAGAGGTGGAGAAAAGGTTTCTCCTCGGGTCTGCGGGGTTCCTCTGACGCCTTCCTTGACTGAGCAGCTTCCTAGGGAGAGACCCCCCATCTGTATGTCACGCCAAAGGAGGGATCCCTTCCCTGACACTCTGTCCTTGCTCTGTGTCACTCTGTCCATCTCTACTTTTACAAATCCACCTTCATATTCTCTTCCCTACAAGGAAGCCGCTTCGGAGATGCTTCCCTTTGTACATGGAATAATAATTCTAAAGTGCTCAAATGTTGTCGATTCCCACATGCGCATCCGGAGTTTGCTGTAGATTTATATCAAAATGTTGACACATTGGTGTGCACATTTCCACCAATTTAAACATTTTGGTATTTTTTGGTAAAATTTCCTATTCCCAAACATTCTTTTTCTTTTTGCAAATCATAGTTCCTCACAGAATGCACTTTTGAATGTTATATTTCGAAGCAGGTGGCACTTTCCCCTAATATGCATATTTTTTCCATGCATTTTCCATCTCCAGCACAAAATTCCATGTGTTTTTCCATCTCCATCGCTCATTTCATAGGATAACTGAGTCTCAGTGTGTATCGCGGGTGCGGCCTCGTGGAACAGGGGCTGAGGGTGTCTTGCACGCGTTTCTCCCCTATCGCTACTCCAAAGCAGCTCCGTCCTGCAAAGATTATAAATGGCATATCTGCAAGAGCAGAGCTATTTATAAGGGGATTGCCTTGCGATGCGTTGCAGCTCCGTCCCCCACTCCACCCCTGCGCCGCATCCGTGCCTTCCGTGTAATGCGACAGCTTTTATTAGCTATTAGTACTATTACTCATGTCTGGGTGTTATTTAATCCTCCCCCCTTCACGTCCATTGTACTCAGCTGCCTAAATAACAGCGGACTGAGAGGTTGGAAATGGAAACAGAAAGGAAAAGACGGAAGCAGGCAGCAGGGGGTGAAGCACATTAGCAGTGCTGTGTTCTGTGATCCCTCCTACCGTGCACTAGAAACCTGGATTTTTTTATAAGGGTAACCACTCACAGCTGGTGATGGCCAGTGAGTCCTGGCCCAAGGCTTCCTTTGGAAAATATGCAAGGGCTGGAGGTCGGATTTGCTGCTGCCCTGGGCTCCCACGTTGCAGCTCGGTGGCTCAGTGGCATGGAAGCGTGGTCGATAGACACCAATGTCTTTGTGTCATGAGCCGTCAGGCATCTTGCATCTTGCATGGCTATGAATGCAACGTAATAATTATAAGAGGGTGGTACTAGCTAGGGCTCTCCAAGTTTGGTCTCCAAGACGGGAAGTAAAACTGGAGTGCAGCTAGGACAGGAAGTGAAAGAATAGCATTTGGCTTACGGGAGTCCTGCTTGGAGACCCATCACCCTCCAGTACGTGGCGCCGTGCCCAAGGAGGTAGATAACTCCCCTCCCAGGAGAGCTGTGAGCGCCCGTCAGCTTGCTCGGATTGATTACTTCATTCCCAGTCTAAGGTGTATTAGACTGAGAGCCAGTGTGGTGTAGTGGTTAAGAGCGTGGGACTGGGACTCAGCTGATCTGGGTTCGAGTCCCCGCTCGGCCATGGAGCCCACTGGGTGACTGGCCAGTCACAGACTCTCAGCCCAACCTACCTCACAGGGTTGTTGTTGTGGGGATAAGATGGCGGAGGAGAGATGATGTAAGCTGCTTTAAGCCCTTTGTAGGAAAAAGGCAGGATATAAATAGACAGACAGACAGACAGAAGGTCCTACGACTTCCCAGCATCCCCCCAAAGCAGCTGGGGAATGCTGGGAAGTTGCAGGCCGCTTTCCTGGCTAAATATACCTCGGATGAGGCCCTTAATATCTGGCCTGAGCTGCTGTCCAAGCTCTCTTCGCTCCGCTGCGTGGGCTGTTGTACTGTTCCAATGCCGTTTTCCCGCCGAGTCTGTTGTGTGTGCAAGAACTGCCCTGGACTGGGCCAGCATGTGTGTTTCTGCCCAACTTCTCCTGGCAGTTTCTTGGTGCCTTGCCCTGCCAATGCTGAGATTTCATCTGGTTCCACCTGTTTCTGCAAACCAAGTGTTTCCACCAGCACTCAATCGCATCTGGATTATCTGCTCTCGCTGGAGAGTTTTTGAAACTGGAATAATTGGGGGTGAGGGAGTTGTTCTATCACATTTTTTGCAAGGTGGGTAGGTTTTGCTGCCCCTGGTTGCACCATTCCAGCGGCTGAAATGCACGAGGGTTGCTTGAACAGCTCCGAGGTGGACAGACAAAGCAGAGTACTTCCAATTCAGTGTTTTCTTTGCCATAAATTTTTCAGGTCTCCTTTGTTTTTTTGTTTAGTCGCTAAGTCGTGTCCGACCCTTCATGACCCTATGGACAACATTCCTCCAGGCTCCCCTGTCCTCCACCATCCCCCCATCCCCACACCAACTACTTCAGTGACCCCATCCAGCCACCTCATCCTCTGCCGTCCCTTCCTTCTTTTGGCACCAATTGTTCCCAGCATTAGGCTCTTCTCCAGGGAGTCCTTCCTGCTCATTAGGTGGCCAAAGTATTTGAGTTTCATCTTTGGTATCTGGCCTTCTAAAGAACTTATTCTACCCCTCCAACATGGGAGGTGGTGGGGGATAATATTGACCTACTGTCCTTCCTTACAGGCACTTGGAAGAATTCCTGGGATAACCAGATCACAGGCCTAGACCGAGAGTCCAGGCAATCAGGGAGCACAGCGTGGGGAGAGACATGTAAAGATGACACGAACTAGCCAGCTGGCTTTGGCCAGGGGACAATGCCACAGAGCGGCAACTAAAATCACCCCAGAGGGGAAGGGAGGCAGCGGGAAATAATGTGAGAAGACTTTGTGCATGTTTGTGCCTATTGATGAGTACTTCAAGTCAGCAAACTGCTTCTTCCGTTCTGAAACGCCTTTCCGAAGGCTGACTGCTGACTGCAAGGGTTTGGTCCGACAGCCTTGCTGGCCTTTGCGGCCCCTCCCGCTGGCCCTTGGCCCCGCCCACCAGCAGAGTGCAGGCCCTGAGAGCTGGATCTGGCCCCCGGCTGAAAGGGGTTCGGCACCCCTGTGTCAGAGCATCTCAGGGAAACTGAGGCCTCCCTCCCTTCTTTTCATAGGTGTCAAAGCACCAAGAGAGGCACCGCCACAAGCTCCTGAAGGACAGCCCTGCTCAAGGAGGGAGGCAGGAGCTGCTTCGTGAGGTCCATCCGTGGTTGATGGATCCCGCCTTCTGAGAGGTGAGCGTCTATGTTTTTCGGAGGAGCGAGGGCAGACGGGGGTTCTCCTTGGGGGGTGATGTACGTATGGACCCATCTTGAGATGAAACTGGAAGCGTGAGTGTGCACAAGCCCCCTTCCCAGTGAATTTTCACCCCACTTTCTGAAAGGAGGCAGAAGCAATTGTAAAGGGGAAAGAGGGAATGGCTTAAAGCAACGGGGCTGAACAGCTCCTGTGGGGTGGGGGTGGGAAAGCTGGGTCAGGGACTGGGAGGTCTGGTTTCTAGTCCCCACCTTAGCCATGAAGCTCACGGGCTGACTTTGGGCCAGTCGCTCACTCTCAGCCTAGCCTACCTCACAGGGTTGTTGTTATGACAATGAGATGGAGCAACGCAAGCTGCCTTGGGTTCCCACAAGATGGAAAAGAGATGGGATGTAATTGCCAGATAGCAATGCCAATAAGATCGGGGGAAGGTGAGGGGGCAGCACGCAAATGCCCCCTTGTAGGAGCTGGGCGGACTGGTCCCTTTGTTTATTGTCGCCTCGCTTCACTCCGGCTGCACCTGCCCCGCTGAAATCCGGTCTCTCTGCGCCTCCTGTGTCTGATGTTGAAGTCGTGCATGTCAAGGCAGAAAGTGGCATTACCTGAGCGCGGAACGGAGATATCAGAAGGCTTGGCAGAACCTTGAAAAGAATGTTGGGGGGGGGGGAATAGGGGGACCCCCCCACACAAAGGAGCCCCATGAGCATGGAGGGCAAAAGAGAGAACTGGGCGGAGGGAGAATGCCATGGAGTTGCGAGATTCCCAAACCACAGCACTGTGTGGGAAGAACTTCTAAAGGGATTTTCGGCACTGGAGAATTTGCCCTTGGCTGGCCTTCTCGGCTCCTTCCGCTTCTGTCTCCTCCTGTCCAGCAGGGCCAGTGGGGCTCCTGGTGCTGAAGGAGCAATCTGGGCAGCTGTAGGCCATCCCTCCCATCAGCTCCCCTCTGAGGAGCGCTGCAGGCCGCTCCCATGAAGTGCAGGATAAAAGCTGCAAGGGATACGGACCCCCACTGCCCCAGGAATGGCCCGCTCCCCAGCCGCCACGCGAGCGCGTCACAGTGACACAGCGGCGATGAGGGGCCAGCCCTGCTAGGCTTGTGCCTGCATTTTTGAGTGTGCAAGGATGCGCAACCGCTGCCGGCGCATAGCTGAACGCTTGCAGTGCGACTCTGACTCGAACATGGAACTCCATGGGAAGTCCACGGAGATGTGTTTCTCTTTCCTTTTTGGGGGTGGCCGTTTATTGCGGAGTGGGGGCGTTGCTGGGACTGCAGGATGGGATATGTAGTCTCCAAGGCACACTGGCAGAGGCAGAGTGGCGTGTCCGCAGGCTGGCTCCCAATGAGAGCAAGAGCCTTAACGTGAGACCGGAGGGCCACGGACCATGCGGAATCAGCCGGCTGTGGACAATCCAGGATCGGGTGACGTTCAGGTCCTGGCCCAAGGCAGTCTGCATGGGGAGGAGAAGGAGGGCATGTGGTGGGCCTGCAGGTCCCATGCTCCCTGGGGAAGATAGGAGGCAGAGACCTACAGCCTCTGGAAGTCCACAGGCATAGGGACCACACTCCCGAGACCCAGTTAACGGGAGCCGGGCTTCAGTGCAGAGGTGCCCTTGTTCGCATCACCCCATTTGCCCTTGGCTGGGATTCTGCAGTGTCGGAGAACGTGTGCGGCCCTTCTGAGGGCTGAATGGCAGCTGTGGAATGTCGGCGGCCAGTTTGGCTGAGGCGGAAGGCAGGGCAGTGGGCGAGTCGGTCTCCAGCTTGCAGAAAACGTGGCACCTTTCAGCTGCGTGGGCCGGGCTGGGGTGGCGTTCACGGGAGCCCTCCCCTCTGGCGTCCGGGGACTTCCTCTTGTGCCTGGCCTGGGGGAGCAAGCTGAGCCAAGCGGCCATGCGCAAGCGCTCATGGAAGGAAGCCTGTGCTTCATGGGGAGAGGGGTGTTCTGGAGCGCCCCTCCTCACACCCTTTGTGCAAACTCCACGTGTCCAAGGAGTCAAGGAAGCAAAACGAGGAAACGGCGGCAAAAACACGCAACACCAAGCGAGCAGGAGGACACAGCTTCATCTCAGGGTCCAAAATAGCTCAGATTCAAGCCTATTCTTTGCAAGTAACCATTTCACGGAAGACAAGAAGGGCAGGCCCGAGCTCGCGGGGTTCTCCCGTCCCCACTAGGTTACCTCCTGCGCTGCAGCAGGCGCGGCTCCCCCATGAAAGATTGCAAGGATGTTTTTCCTGGGCACCTTGAGCGGCACACAGCCAAAGCCAAATGCCCCATAATTGGGGTCCGGTAAACTGGTGGAACACTGGGTCCAGCTGGGCTGGCCGGGCTCCCAGTAATGGATGGCGCTGGAATAGCGGTCCATGCTGTCGCCCCCAAAGATGTAGATTCTCTTCCCGCAGCGGGCGACCCCTGGGTACGAGATCGCGATGGGGAGTGGCGGGATGGGGTTGCTCTGGTCCAGCTTGCCGTCCCCGAGCAGACAGATGCAGCGCTGGGTGAACTGGCGGGTGCCGCGGGCGCAGTCCCAGGTGAGCCCGCCGACCGCAAAGATGCAGTTGCCCAGCGTGGCAGCACTGGCCTCGCAGAATTCCAGCGCCGCCGGGACCTGGGACCAAACCTCGGAGACGACGTCATAGACCAGAACGCCCTGGTGGGGGACTGGGAGGTCGGAGACGCCCTTCTCCCCACCGATGAGGTACAGTTTGCCCCGGAGCGCTGCGGACGTGAAATAGGTCAAGGCGAAAGGGAGGCTGGGGATGGCGGCCCACTCCTCTCGCTCCAGGTCATAGCTCTCTGCGCCCACGAGGGCCCCCGTGGCATCCCAGCCCCCGGCCACGTACAGCTTCTTCTTGCACAGGAGGAAAGCGTGCCAGGCCCGGGGCGTGGACATGGGGGGCAGCTGGGACCAGAATCCCCCGAGCGTGTCATAAACAAGCAGGTTATCCGAGTAGGAGCCGTCCAAGTGCTGCCCCCCAGAGACGTAGAGCTTGTGTCCCAGGGTGGCGCAGCTCGGGGAGGTGAGCGCTTTCAGGTCGGGGAGCTGCTCCCACTCCTCTGTGCAGCAGTCAAAGAAATGGACGCGGGAGTCCAGCTCGTCTTCGCCCAGGCTCACCTCGCTCCATTTCGGGAGCCCTACGCACGCCACCCCTTCGCGATACATGCCCTGCCTCAGTCCTCGACTGGACCACAGGCGTTCTTCCAAGTTGAGCTCCTCCCAGGGCAGGCGCACGAGCTCGTAAAACTCCTCCGTCTCAGCCCGGACCTCGGCGAGTTCCTCGGGGGCCAGGAGGGGAAGGCGGACGTGGTCCATGAGCTTTCGCAGCTTGGGGAGGCGCTCGGCGGGGTTGTGGTCCACCCAGTGGCGCACGGCCCTGTACACAACCAGCTCAGAGGGCACTGCGAGGCTTTCCAAGGCAATGAGGCTGAGGAGGCTGCTGTATTCCAGGAGCAAGAAGGCAGGCAGCTCAGAGAGGTGCTCGAAGTGGGAGGAGATGTACCGGGTTGCTGGGCGGAGGAGTGGTTGGTGGTTGTGGGAATAGGCCAGTGTGTAAAGATCCAGGCAATTATCCACAGACATCCTCTCCAGGAAAAACCTGCATGGTGGAGCAGAGGGGAGAGGGAAGGTGGTGAGTTTTGTAAAATGAGGTGTGGTGTTGAGAGTGCGGAGAGAAAAGGATCTTTCTCCCCCGCACTGGACATTAGGATGCTGGGGAGGAAGGCAACAATTTGTGTCCTTCCACAGGACTGCAGCTTCCAGCACCCATGCTGGCTGGGACTGATGGGCCTTGTTTCCAGCATCACCTGGATAGTCTATGCCGTGGCTTCCAGCGCGCAGGCTTTTCACCATGCACCACAGGTTCTGATGCGGATGAGGCAAGCGGTACTTCGCCAGGGCAGGACAGGCCGTGTCTGCAACAACCCATCCAGCAAACACAGCCCTGATGTAGTTCTGTGTCTCAGGGGTCAGCCCCGAGCGGAATCGCTACCTCTGTGTCCCCACAGAAGTCTCCCTTGACAAAGTGGGCCAGAGCTCAGTTAGCTCCTGCAGAAGGAGTGAAGCTGACCACACCACAGGTCCTGTCAGCCTACCTGAGGCTTTGGTAGGCCCTGAAGCCTCAGGAAAGCTTTTGGTTGGCTCAAGCGTTACACAGTCTTTCTCCCTCTTGAAAAGGTTCAACCGCCTCCCTAAAAGTGGAGTTGCTGGAGGAAAGAGGGCTGGACACAAAGAAGCTGCTGGTTTGGGTATTCTGCCCCCCACCCGGGCTTTTGGCCTTGTCTCCTTTTTGCCTCACCCCTGCTGGAATACACTCTTAGAGAGAACTAAACACTGAATGTGCAGCTTTGATATGCCAGCAGTTCTGGGCTCTGTTTTCTGCTTCTAAGGTATCAGAAACGATGCATTAAATCTCTGATGCTAAGATGGCTATTTGTTGGCAGCAGCTCCAATTTCGATTGCATTTTATTGAGAGAAAAAAATATTTCTTCTCCATTGTCTAATTGGTTTTTCAGGACACAGAATGCTGCTATTATGATGAAAATAGCGTATTATATAAAAGGAAGAAATAGGCAAATGTTTGAGAAGACATTTATTGAAAAATTGAATATCTTCATTATGATTTGGAATGATAAATCCAAGGTAGCATTTGACCATATCCCTTATTTTCATTGCTTTGAATTTATGCATTAGAATGTCTTTATTAGAAAGATGACATGCATTTTATAGGTTTCTTTTTATTTTCATTTTAAATGGTGAGGAAGAGAAGGATTAAAAATTACTTTGGTCTGCTGGTAACCTATCAGAGGGGAAGTTCATGATTGATCGTTCCCACGATTTGTGGGGCAAAGGAATGGCAAGCCATCATGTGGTGCTCTGTGAGTTTCATGGCAGAGACCAGAACCTGCCTCTCCCCACTCTTAATGAATCACACAGGGGCTCTGCCAGAAAAATGCACCCTGATTTTTGCCTGGGGACTCTCAGAGCATGTGGACAGTAGGAGCTGCTGGAGCTAGAACTGAGATCCTGAGAGCGGCAGCATTCCTGGGCTTTTCCCCTTTTTTCCTAGAGTGATTCCTCTCGCCCCGATTTCCTCTGGGCTTTCACGGTGCTTTGCAAGTACCTCTGCGCCAGGCCAGAGGTCTTCCCAGGACTTTGCCTGTCTCTCAGCCTGCTGTCCTCCTCAGGCTGACTGGCTGCACTTCAAGTAGGGAATGGCAACCATGCTAGGCTGGAGGTTTTAAGCATCTCTGAATTCATCCCAAAAGCCTGTTTTGCCCGATTCCTTTTCTTGAGGGGGGAAAGGTCTGTTTTCAAAGTACACATTTTTCCCATTGGAAAAAAGCACACTTTTAAAAACACGTGCATTTTCCCACTCCAAGAACATGCATTGTCTCCACAGACAAAACTGTGAAAACGCAGATTTGGAGGTGCTTGGTGCAAACATACACAAGTGCAAAAGCACTTATGCACATTTTAGAAGTGGGCATACATGCGTCTTTGGATGTGAGTTTGAATGTGTGCAAAGGAAAACTCCCAGAAATTTGTGTGTTAGTTCTTATTTGCATTCAGGGCCGCAAACGCAGCGTCTTTGCATGACCAGCAAGCAGGAACAGTCCCGGAAGTTGCGGTCTCGAGCATCCCGAGGACATTAGTGCGGGGAAGGTCAGTTTCAGGGTGGCTGATGCCTGCCTCTTCCTTGGGAGCCGCCCTCACTGAGCAGCTTCTTCCAGCTCCTTATTTATGTGTCAACAGCTCTGCTTCTCCACCCGGCCTCAGCTGCATGGGATCCCCCTTGTGTGCCCGTTACCTGGTGAGCTTCTCCAGCGCGGAAGCGATTTGGAGTCTGCTGGCGGTGGCAAACAGCTCCTCCGCCTCCTCCGCCTGGAGCTGCAGTTCTCCTGTGTAGACGTAGTCCAAGAGGCTCTGGAGGGAGGCGGGGGAGAGGTCCAGAAGCACGATCTCCCCCTCCCACGATTCTCTGAAGGTGCTGACAAACATTCGCTGGAAGTAGAGGCTGATGGAGGCCAGCAGGGTCCTGCCAAGAAAAAGACGTAAGGCGAGAGCGAGGCGACAGAGCCCGGCTCTGCAGCTGGGCGGCCCAAGCTGACTTGCACCAAAGGCATCTTGCATTCAGGATGTGTGAGGAATCCATTTGGCGTGGGAATCCACTGGATTCCCTGGGCTTGTCTCCCTGGACTCTGGTCTGCTTTGCAGCAGCCCTGAGGCTGAATTCTTAGCACCTGCACCCCATGTTCATGGGGTGCTCACCAGGACTGGTGCCCCATGAGATGTACCAGCAGAGACCTTTTCCCGTACGCAGCACCCAGCACTAGCCACAGCGGGCAAGGAAGGCAGTTGCAGAGCCAGAAGCGTGGCTTCGAGATCGAGAGAGGTATGCCTGCCACTCTGTACGACTCTGGTGCGCCCGCAACTGGAGCCTTGTGCTCAGTTCTGGGCCCCTCATTACAGGAAGGATATAGCCAGGTTGGAGTCAGTGCAGTGAAGGGCCCCTGAGATGGTGGCCGGTTGCAGGGGAAGCCGCATGAGGAGAGGCTGAGGGAGCCGTGTCTCTTCAGCCTGGAGAAGAGGAGACTCAGAGGGGACCTGCTAGCAACATGCAGGTACATGAGGGGATGTCCCACGGAGGTGGGACATGACCTTTTTTTCCTCTGCAGTGTAGGCAGGGCCTGTTCCAATGGAGCAAAGATCAGGGAACCAAGATTCATGGTGGATGCCAGGAAGTACTTCCTGACGGTTAGCACCCCTGGGGTGTGGAATGGGCTTCCACGGAAGATGGTTGAGGCCCCATCGGTGCGGGTGTTCAAGGACAGGCTGGACATGCACATGGTGGGCATGTCATGAGCAGAGACGGGGGTCAGACTAGATGGCCTGGGAGGCCCCTTCTGGATCACTCGGTTTCTATGTTTCTGTGGTTGCCGGGAATGGTGCCTTGCAGTGGCCCTGCTTCCATGACCTGCAGCCATTCCTGATGGGGAAAGGTGCCAGTCACATAGCTAGAGACCACGAGCTTTTGCGGACTGCCTCTTGGCATGGCTTGCTTTGCAGGACTGGGCCAAGCCTGAAGGCAGTTCTGTGAGTGCCAGAGCCAACCCTATTTATGTATTTAAAAATTTGTATGCCCCCACCCCATTGTGGCACGGCACCTCTGGGCGGCTCACAACCACAAGATAAAAACACAATAAAAACATAATAAAAACCATAACACATTCAAAACAACAATAAAATACAGCAAAAAATACAAAGCCAAGGTCTTATGGCAATTAGTTACTACTTTTTTAAAGGAAGGTCTTTGCCTGGTGCTGAAAAGAAACTAAGGAAGGCGCCAGGCGAACCTCCTTGGGGAGAGCATTCCAATACGAGGGGCGGCTGCAGGCAAGGCCCCCCTCCTGGCAGCCACCTCTCTTGCCTCCCAAGGGGTGGCTCACCCAGGAGGGCCCCCTGCGTAGCCCTCAAAGGCCGGGCAGGCACATGCGTGTGCAGGCGCTCCCCAAGATCTCTGGGGAATAAGCCGTCTGGGGCTTTACCTGTCAGCACAAGCACCTTGAACTGGGCCTGGTAAGCAATGCAGGTCTTTCCATATAGCCGTTCTTTGGGGCGCTCTAGGGGTGCCTGTCACCAACCGAGCAGCCCCATTCTTGTACCGATTATAATTGCCGGACCACCTTCAAGGGCAGCCCCACGTAGAACCCTGCCTTGCATTGCTGGACTGCAAAAAACGAGCGAGCAGCATCTGCTGAGGGTGCACTCTTGTGATGAGTTTTCAAGGCGTCCGGCCTTGTGCACAGTTGTTTCCGATTCCTGCGCATGACCAAATACTCCAGTGCGTCACTTCCAGCAGCTGGAGGTCATCTCTGGAGAGACCTTCCACACCGGGGTGGGATTCCGGATGCTGTTGGACTACAGCTCCTGTCATTTCTGTCCACTGGTCACGGACACCGCCCTTGGAGGGATGCAGGCGTGAGTATCGGCCTGCCTTTGCCAGAGTCGTGGATGCGCCTGGAGTCACGCTGCTATGTCAGTGTTTCCCTTTCAGCCAGCATTATTTTGCGTTCTTCTAACATTTAGATTTTGCTTTGTTCCCTCTGGTGAAGTCCACAATAGGAAAAGATTGGTTAAAAACAACAGTTGTTGGCTCTGTGGACCGCAGCACCGGGGCGGGGGGGGGGGAGCACTAATGTTTGGAAGGGCACAACTTCTGCACCCCAACCCAGACTAGCCTTCCCCAATGCGGTGCCCTCAGGTGCTTTGGATTTCAAGTCCCGCATTCCTGACTATCGGTCATCCTAGGGAGGACTAGGCATGTCTGAGCTTGGATTTCTATGGATCCAGCTGGCAGATTCAGGAACAGACTGATTTCTTGAGTTGCATGGATTCTGTGCCTTCTTAACTTGCAGGTGCCTTCTTAACTTTCTGTGATTTTTTGCAACTGTGCTAACTGAAAGATCATAAAAATTACACCACCACCCCTCACTCCCTGAAATTGTACCTGTCCAGTCACTGAGTCCATCAGAAATGTGTGGGGGGGTACACATGTGTATAAGTGTGCAGGAATACAAGAACAGACAACTGGAAAAATGCTTCTGTCCACGTGCAGATGGCAGACTGAAGGATACCTGGCAATTCACAAAATTAGGTGGGGCAGATTTAATGAAATGCAGACACCCTGATCTGAGACGATGAGAATGCAGCCCTAGTCTAGAGGCACTGGATCCCCAGCCATGTTTTTTGTGACTTCACATTTTTCATTGAAGTCACTCCCGGATGCCCTGTTTGTGGACGGAACGGTGGTGCCGGCTACCTGTGACAGGGAAATCTTTTATTGTTGACCACCAAAGTGACATCGCAGAGTTGTTGAGTTTGATACAGATGTTTGATACCTGCTGGGACAGAGGAAATAGAAATGGGAATGGAAGAAAGCAAATAGCACTTCAAAATGCCCAAGAAATTAGAAGGATGAAGCTGGCATGCCCTCACTGCAAAGAGTCATGCATCACCTCGTCCGTCATACTGCAAACTTATTGAATCATACAGATGTCTAGGAAATTCCTTCCAGTTCGTTTTTGAAAGGATTAACCCACATCTGAACATAGTCTGTAGTCCAGGTTCATAGATTTTGGAGCAATTCAGGATCAAAGAAAGCACATTTGGAAAATGTGTATATTTGAAGAAGAAAAAGCATAGAAGAAGGCAGGCAGAGGTGGCTTAACCTCTATGTGCACATTTTCAAAAAGTTATGTGCTCCATTTATTGGAAAGATGCACATGAAAGGATGCACAAATTTGGACAGGGAAAGGAAACAAAGAAGCTTGTGATTTGAGACTGACACAAGTTGGAAGGCGCTTTGAGGTGGAATTCGGAGAATTGTGATCTTCCCCCCTGGAAAAGCATTGAAAGAGGGTTGCCCAAACTCTTAAGGGTAAGGGCACATGCTCCCTCCTGTATCAGAAGCAGCATGCCCATGTGCACCGCTTGCTGGGGAACATGGGCCGGAGGGCGCTGGTTCACTCCTGTCCTATTTGTGAGTTTCCCTCGAAACATCCTGGGTCGGTTGCAGGAATGTTACTGCATCAAACCTCAACAGAAAGGCCGTTTGGTCACCAGGCAGACTGCAAAACTGAACATGCGTTTTGAAATCCATCTGGCACACCCCACCCCTCCCCGCGACATCCAGAGTGGTAGTGGTCCATTTTGGCCCAGAGTGATACCATTCAAACAATCAGAGATAGTCCAACATTACCTTGGGTAATGCAGTGCTTCAGAGAAAGCGCACCAGTGTCATCTGGATCCATTTCTGAGTCCCTCAGGAACTGTGTAGCCTTGGCCCCTTGCGGGAATCTACCAAAAACAGCTGCCTTTTTCTATGAATGAAGGTAGACAAAACAGCGAATGCAGCCAAGGGGTTATGCACCACAAGGAAGGCTGAGTGCTGAAGGATTGAGGCCTTTGAATTGTGGTGCTGGAGGAGACGCCTGCGAGTCCCTTGGACCGCAAAGCGATCCAACCGGTCAGTCCTGGAGGAGATCAGCCCTGGCTGCTCTTTAGAAGGCCAGATCCTGAAGGTGAAACTCAACTAATGGCCACCTAATGAGAAGGAAGGAGTCCCTGGAGAAGAGCCTGATGCTGGGAACAATTGAGGGCAAAAGGAGAAGGGGACGGCAGAGGATGAGGTGGCTGGATGGGGTCCCTGGGGCTTGGGTGGACTCTGGGGGAGGTGGAGGACAGGAGGGCCTGGAGGAATGTTGTCCATGGGGTCGCGAGGAGTCGGACACAACTTCGCTACTAACAACCAATGGAGTTATGCATCTGTTCTGCTCCATCCTTAGACACACCTTCTCTGAAAGGCTCTGGCACAAACTCTGCCCTAAGGAAGATGGATATGGGAGGTTACATCCTATGCACTTCCTGCAAAGGAATTTTCTACCCCTCCTACCCCTCACCCTTGATTAACAGAGAAGATAGGACAGCCCCCTGAGTGGGATGGTGTGACCTGGTGTCCTGCAACAGCAGGGGTTGAACCCGATGGCCTTCATGGCCCTTTCCAACACACTATTCTATGATACTCCCCCAATTTTTCACAGATCAAATCAGCGGTACGACTATGGCACATCAATTCTTAAGCCATGTTCTTCTACCATGGTTCCATCAGGTAGGCCTTTGAGGCAGAAATGCAGGGCCCGCTCCACCAGGAGGGCCCCAGAAGTAGGAAGGCTGGGGTGTAGCAAAACATGCCTCCACTGAGGGACCTTTAAGATCATTAAATTTAAAATGATCTAAGTGGATCATGCCCCTCCTTTCTGGACCACACTCCTCATGACAAATAGCTGGACGACGCGTTTGCCCTCTGAATTCCATGCTTTTTCATCTAAAGCGGCCTGCCTCCTGCGCTCCTGGAAAAGCCAGGAAGCAAAACTGAGTCACTGGCTTTCACAAAGGGAGAAGCTGTTATCCTACACAATGTCATCAAGAGAACAAAAGGGAGCCACTTCAGCAGCTGCTGCACAGGGATACACAACAAGCTTGATGGCCCGGTGACCTGGCTCTGCCCCTGTGCGGGCTCACGCATGGCCAGCAATGCGCTCCGGAGCGGTGGTCTTCGACCTTTCCACAGCTGGGGACCAGCGAAAACAGGAAAACCACCTCGGGGACCGCTGGGGCAGGAAGGAAAAGCACCATATGCATAGTACTATTTCATGCATTAGTTTCCAAGCACAATACCAAAAAGATGAAAATTCTCCAGAACAACCAGAAACTGAGCAAGAAAAAATGCCAGCAAAAGAACCAGATTCTGAAATTGGCACAGCACGGCTCCCAGTCAGAGCCCACCTACTCTCTCCCCTCCCTGCCCCCTTGGTGCCCCCCCCCCCATGAATGCAATGCCTGTGGACTGGTGCCATTCCACAGGCAGGTGGTTAAAAACCACTGCTCTAGAGGGTGGGCTTTGGGGGTGGGGGGATCTGCAAAAGGCTCGTGCTGGCACAAAGCGGGGACAGGAGCTTACTGGGGATGGGGACTGGAAATTAAAGACTGTCATAGGATGGGGGACAAGCCCTATATGGAAGGCACGTTGCAAACAGGTGACGGTGGTCCTTCATATACGCACATGCCCTGCCCAGTGCTGTGGACATTTTTCGATAGGGTGAGTCAGAGCTGAATTGTGTATCTGAAAATGAGGGGGGATCTGTCACTGCTTGCTTGCTTCCCATCCCAGCAGAGCCAGGGAGAACCCTCATGCAAGCTGAGACCCCTGTGGCACCCGCGGGGACCTAATCTGAATGCCTCTGCTTCCTCCCACACCCCACCTTGACGGGGTGCTGAGATGCAGGCTGGGCGGTTTCGACATCAGGAAGTGTTTCCACCTACCTGCAGCGCCCGCTTTGTTTACCACCCAGCCTGACAGAGTTCTGGAGAGCTCAAGAGCTTGCTGGCCACAGGGTTTTTGTGGCCGCTGGGCTGGCCTAACAACAACAACAACAAAAGATTCTGCAAGCGTAAACTGCAGGCTTTGATTTACAAAGTGAGCTCCTTACTCATCCTTTCTCCTCTGCTCTGCTCTGTTTTAGCAATAGGCATAATCAGTGGGGTGGAGGTACATTTTGGGTGGGCAACATGGGGAAACTCAGCCAGTGCGATGCTTGGCAGACTTTTGGCACCTCACCAAGTCAAGAGCCAAAGTTGAGTCAAGGATTCTTTTCACTGCTTTTGAAGCAGGCCTTGATATGTGTATTTTTAAAAAGTCGGAGAAATCCGTCAGTCTTCAGCATCAAGTGGGGAGAAGGTGTGGTAACTTTCTAACCAGACCCTCTGCTCAGCCTCCCAAGACCTCACCCTTGAAGGAAGCCTCTTGAATGAGCCCAGGAGAGTTGATGAAATGGGACCGTGGCATCTCCTCCAGGATGCTGTAGCCCATTGGCCCGTTCCCTGGGCGCTTAGCAACTGCCTCCCTGTCCATGAGGGTCTCCTAGCAACGCAGGGCCAGATGTGGTACACATTCAAGGAAAGCCCTTGAAGGGGCTGTGGAGGGAAGGCTGCCTCTTCTGGGGGTTGTGACGCTTTCTATGGGGCCAGTGTGGACATTGTCTTGTCACAGGGGCAGATGTTAGACAGCAGGGGGAATTTGGCCATGCAATGCAGAATAGGGAATTAAGGATCCGTTGGCTTCTCCTCCAGGGTCCAGAATTGATCTGATGGACATGGGGCAGCGCTGCTGTACCGGCCCTTGGGCCACCTTCCAGTAGCCAAAGCAAGGATGGGAGGGGCCAGAGCAAAATGGGTGGAGCCACCCCAGACATGCTCTTTCTCATGCGCATTATGTGCATTCGCATTGTTTATTTCTATTGTGACTTGTCAGCAAAACAAATCAAAACAAAACCAAAAATGAAAAAGAGAAACAAAGGGGGCACCTGAAATGAACAACAATTGATAACCAATTATTGATACTGATCCATCAGTAACGGTTCCTGAGCAGGATGCAGATAATGGTGGAAATCCAAATGTATTAACTATACATAAGAAATTTCCACATATATTTTATTTGATGTCATTTAGGTATGAAATGTATATCCTTTTCTTTCCCCTGCAAGGAAGCAGGGCTGACTGCCAGAGAATGGGCCAGGAGAGGCACTTTGATTTTTGAGGATGGGGCTGGGGGCAGAAGGACCCCCAAAATGCAAAACCACCAAATGACTGGCAGTAGGGGAAATGAGGAAAAGCAGAGTAAGGGCGCATGGCCTGGGGAACCCCAAAGGGGCTGCTCCTTGGCATAGACAGCCCTGAGCTTGATGGATATGGACCTAATTTATGGGATTCAGGAGAGGCAGGGCACCATTTCAGCTATCAGTTGCAGGGGAACATGGGTCAGAAGGTGCTGATTCTTTTGCTCCCATCCCGCTTGTGGTTTCCATGGACTCCTGGCCTGACCCAGCTCTCCTGATGCTCTGGAGAGGGCTTGCCAGGATTGGACGAGCACAGTGACTCCGTCCCGTGGCCTGCTAGTTCGGAAATCCTGGCGTACTTTGCATGTGAGTCCGTGCAGACTGACATCAGGCCAGGAAGTGCTTGCAGGATTAGATCTGCGGTGATCATGGGAATGAGCTGGACGGGCGAAAACAGCTGCTCAGGCGGCCCTTCCTGGCTCTGCCACAGCAAAACGTGTCTTTGTAGGAGTCAAGCCCCGTGCTTTGCACAAGCGGTGCCCCTTTAGTGGGTCTGCTGGCAGTGGGGCATAGGGAAGGACACCTGGCGTGCCCCTCACCGTGTCTCCTTCCTGCACACGCCACCCCCTCCAGCAGCAAGCAGAGGAGAAGCTTCGTTGCCCAGAACGGAGACTGGGATGCCCAGTCACATCTCCTCTTGTCCGCACCCTGCGGCCTCTCCTAGGGGAGTGGCCAGTTGCCCAGCTGGGGGGTTCGCAAGTGTTTGTGGGCATGCTTTTGCTCAATTCTGCTGATCCTGGAGGGGGTGGCTTGCTTGCTTGCTTGCTTGCTTGCTTGCTTGCTTATTTATTTATTTATTTATTTATTTATTTAAAGTTTTTTATATGCCGTCCCATTACTAAAAGCCTCTGGATGGCTTACAAAGAACAAAAAACCAAAGAACAAAGCAAACCACAACAACAACACATGACGCACTGCATCTGATAAAGAATGATAAAAACAAGTGTAAAACCAATTAATTGTTACATATCAGGAAAATAAAAAGGTCTTTGCCTGACACTGAAAAGAATAAAGTGATGGCACCAGGCAAACCTCCCTGGGAAGCATGTTCCACAGTCGGGGTGCCACCACCGAAAAGGCCCTTCTCCGAGTAGCTACCCTCCTAACTTCTTTCAAAGAGGGATCCCTCTGCCCCCGATCTCAAGGAGTGGGCTGGCACATAGAGAAGAGGGCGCTCCTTCAGGTACCCAGGACGCAAGCCGTTTAGGGCCTTATAAATCATCACCAACACCTTAAATTAGGCCTGGACTTCAATTGGCAGCCAGTGTAAATACAGGACCGGCATGATATGGGAGTATCTGCCAGTCCCTGTTAATAACCTGGCAGCAATATTCTGGACCAACTGAAGTATCCAGACCGTCTTCAAGGGCAGCCCCACGTAGAGCACATTGCAGTAGTCCAAACGGAAAGTTACCAGAGCATGGGTCACCATTGCCAGGTGCTGCTCATCCAGGTAAGGATGCAGCTGATGGATCAGCTGAAGCCGAAGGAAAGCGCCCCTCCCATCATCGGATGCTCCAGGGGCAGGTCAGGGTCAAGGAGCACTCCCAGGCTGCATTCCCAAAGCGCCTGTGCCTGCCGCGGCCAAGACGTCCACCCAGCTCCCCCGCCCCTGGTCCAGGAGCTCCAGGTACAGACCACTGCCACTTCATTGCAGAGGCGATCGTGTGAACGCGTTCACATCTTGCTTGGAGCTGCCCTACCGGTATCTGATCGGACACCGTGACAATAAAATGCTGGATGCAACAAGCTTCGGCTCAGACCAGCAGAGATGTCCTTAGATTTGCAGCGTCCTTCTGATTTCAGGCCATCCTGCGCATCTTCAGGCCCAGCAGGTGCCGACACACCTAAAGCAGGGAGTCCACGCTCCGTGTCAGCAGTCCCACTGCCGTTGGTGGCAGACAGCCAGCTGTGGACATGGACAGTGCAGCGGGATCATTGTGCCGGAGCTCTGAAGGAGCCCCTCGGCCCGAGCAGCTGCCTCCCCCGGCACGTCTGCCAGCTGCTAACCACAGACTGGAGGGAGGCAGAGCCGAAGAGATGGGTGTAATTAAGCAATCAGGCACTTACAGAGGTGGCTTCGGCAGGAGCTGGGAGTGATTGTGTGAAAATTACCAGAGGAGCAATGGAGGAGTGGATGTGTGTGAAAACAGAGCGCAACCTCATGTGTGTAAGTCTGCAAATTCCCTGGAAGTGGTTGCCTTCCTACAGGCACCGAAATGCCCTTGCTCACAACAATTATCTCTGCCAAAAGTTGGCTACGAATAATCGCTGGATATTCTCTGAATGTTTTAGCCTTCACTGGATGTTCATGGAGGAGGGTATGCTGTATTTTGGGATGCTGGAGAAATCCACAACAGTCCCAAATGATTTCTAAGGATCCAACCTGTGCATGCCCCACTGAACTGGCATTTTCCAAGTCACAAGAATTTTATGCAGAGTCATAGCAAAATATCTAAAAAAAATTAAAAATCATTTAGCCAAAAATGCGTATTTCCCCCATAAGTTAACAGGTGAAAATGCACATTTTTAAGGGATGACTGTATTCTGGGGAGTGCGAATTTGTACAACTCCAGATTTTTGCAAATGTGAAAGTACACATTTGCACAGAATTTGATCTCATGTGTGAATGAAGAGTGGAAGAAAGACCACCTGGCAAGCCAAGGACCGTGGCTGGAATGGCTTTCACAACCTGCAGACACTTTTACCTGCACTCAGTGAGGCGACTGGGAGCCCCGCCCTGAGCAGGGGTTGGACCTGAGGGCCCCCTGGTCCCTCCAACACTGTGATCCTCTCGTTCTGTGATGACCCTTCGATTTCAAAAAGTGATGGTGACCATGAAGGTGGTGTTCCTTCACATGTCAGTCTTTGACAGCAAATACCTTGTTTTTGGGCTTCTTTTATATTTAATTAATTATTTAATTAATTTTATGCCTCCTGATAGCCAAACCTGTCTAGGCAGTTAACTTTAATATTCTTATTACATTGCACTTGTATTCTTTATTTTATCTTCTTGCAAGAAACCCAGGCGACTTATATAACATAGAAACATAGAAACAGAGCAAGTCAGAAGGGGTCTCCCGGGTCATCTAGTCTGACCCCTGGCTTCAGCCGGCTCCGCTCATGACATGCCCACCATGTGCATGTCCAGCCTATCCTTGAACACCCGCACCGAAGGGGCCTCAACGACCTCTTGTGGAAGCCCATTCCACACCCTGGGGGTCCCGACTGTCAGGAAGTGCTTCCTGGCATCCAAATGAAACCTTGGCTCCCTGAGCTTTGCTCCATTGGAGCGCGTTCTGCCTTCCTCTGCAGGGGAGAACAGGTCTCTACCCACCTCCGTGTGACACCCCCTCACATACCTGTATGCCGCCAACATATCCCCTCCGAGTCTCCTCTTCTCCAGGCTGAAGAGACCCAGTTCCCTCAGTCTCGCCTCATGCGGCTTCCCCTGCGAACTGGCCACCAACCTTGTGGCCCTACGCTGCACTGACTCCAACCTGGCTATATCCTTCCTGTAACGAGGGGCCCAAAACTGAGCACAATACTCCAGTTGTGGGCGCACCAGAGTCATATAGAGTGGTAGTAATGCCCCTCTTGATCTCGAAGCCACACTTCTGGCTATGCAACCAAGGGTGGCGTTCACCCTCTTGACCACTGCATCCCACTGCTGGCTCATGTTTAGCCTGCAGTCAACCAGCACCCCAAGGTCCCTTTTGCAAGTGCTGCTCTCCAGCCACCTGTCCCCTAACCTGTACTTATGACACCTATTCCGATGCCCCAAGTGCAAGACCTTGCACTTATCCACATTGAACGTCATCCTATTGACTCCTGCCCACTTCCATAGTCTGTCCGGATCCTTTTGGATCTGGAGTACCTGCTCCTCAGTTGTGGCCACTGCTCCAGTTTTAGTGTCGTCTGCAAATATGATCAGCAGACTGTTCACCCCTCCTTCCATGTCATTGATGAAAAGATTAAGCAGGATCGGCCCCAGGACAGAGCCCTGGGGGACCCCGCTTGTTACTGGCCGCCATCCCAACGATTCCCCGCTAATGGTTACCCTCTGCTTTCGGTCAGTCAACCGTGCCCTAATCCACCGGACAGTGCTTTGGTGAATCCCAAAACTCCTCAGTTTCTCCACCAGGATATCATGGGGCACTTTGTCGAAGGCCTTGCTGAAATCCAGGTAAGCCACATCCACTGCATCCCCTCCATCTAGCCATCTTGAAACCTTGTC